GAACCTGAACCACCCAAACTGGAGGCAATCTTCAGGCAGACAAAACCTCGCTTCTTTAAACGCACGAGCTCTGCCGTCTGGCATTCTCCACCACGTTTGGGAAATCTGGGCATTTAATAAGCAGATGTATGTATGTCGTCTTTTTATGTTGTCTTTTTTACTTCACACTCACTTCAATAAAGCTTTTATTTCATTTAGAAATCTATATGCAAGTAGGTTAGACTGGAAAAAAGAGCAGAATGTGTAATTTAGATTACACAAAAGGTGATGGGGTTTGACGCCAGTTTCCTGCCGCTGAGGGCAGACTGGGAATGGGCTCGGTTTAGTTTACCTGCTTTTTCTTTTTAAAAATGGGACTACCTTGTCACAAATGTATTTAAATGTAGCGTCACATGTTATAAATTTGGAAGTGTATTCCTTTTTTAAATTTGGAAGTGTACACAGGAGCTGCTACATATAGAAAATATGGGGATGGCGTTTTGCCTACAAAATTCATTTCACGAAGAGCGTCAGATTTACTCTGGACTGTTAATAAAAGGTATCATTTCGAAGTGTTTGTGTGTAATGTCTCTTATTTATAGTAGTTTGTCATGGATGTGATTTGAAAAGTCAGAAAATTAAATCTGAATGCATCTGTTACGGTTCTTTGAGTAAAAAAAACTTAAGGGAAATTGAAATGGTAGCATGTTCTAATTTCTTTGGTCATTCGTGTGTGTGTGTGTGTCAGTACCATTTGCGTTTGCTGTAATTTAGGGAAGTATTTTTCTAGTATAGGAAGTTTCTTAAACTAAGGAATGTGCTCTTGTCAAACTTTGCCACAACTTTGTTTCTAACTTGATCACTTACACAATGGCAGGAAACGATAATCGGATGGAAATAAAGAGCCACTTAGCCTTTTTGAGATCGACTGCTAGCTTACATTATAAAATCATCTTTTAAGTAGGCCTATATTTTCAAATATTAAACCGATTTCTGTGATTTTATGTAACCGGATAGAATGGAGTGTGACCGACAACATACCACATTAAAAACATGAAACACTTGTAATATTTCGAATTAAACTAGTTCATTTGATAGACAAAGCTGAATTTGTCACATTCTCTCAAACTGGATTAGACAACTTAAAATTCTCTGTATTTTCACTTAGTGATGATAAACTCGTTTTCTATCTTGAAGGGGCAATCTATCCTGGGGTATGCAAACATTTGAGAAGCTGTGGGGAGATGTAGTGAAAGTATAGGTCTTATTTCTTGGTTTAATTTTGAAAGGGTGTTTGTTGTGAACATTTCTATGAGGTGACTTTTGTTTCTACATTCTTTGCTTAGCTCACAGGAAGCATTTAAAACTGCATGGCCGCCTGTAGTAGGAAATCTACTCCCCCCTCCAATAAAAGTTGATCTAGTTCACATTAGTGTTGTCACAATACCAACATTTTGACTTCGATACGATACCCGACTAAAATATCTCGATACTACGGCAAAAACATAGAACAACATGTTAACAACAGGAATTAAATAGATTATCCAACTGGAGGTTATAGATAGTTTATCTATTTTTAAAAAGAAGCATTTCATCCCCCTTTTAAAAAAAAAAAAAAGATAAATAAAAATCACATGCCAGTGCCACTACTCAGGACTATGGTGAGCAACTACCGAGCCTACAGGTATAGAGATCTTTGCAACATGGGTAAGTTAGCTAAAAGGAAAAAGCCAAATCTTATTAGATGATAGTCATTTTATTTCACAATAACAATGTATAGCATGATAGTTATTTTTGTTATTTTATCTTACTTTTTATCTTACAACATACTGTAGATGCAAGTAACAAACTAAAGGACAAATACAATAAAACAAAGACACAAATTAAATGGGGCCCTATGAAATCCGTTTTATTTCTTCCCTATTTTCCAAATTCTGTTTTTTATTTTCAGTTTTAATTATGGATTCTGTTTTTTTCCCCCTGCTTTAAATTTTTACAGACTCCATTTTAATGGTTGCATTAAAAATATTAATCAAAAAGCATGTCTAATTAATCGAAATCATGAAACTTACACAATTGAACTGCAATTTCTTAAAAGTTTAACAAAAATCTAATTTTTTATAATTTTTCTGTGAATCTGTTTTCCATTAAGTTTGTGGATTAACTTAATTAAAAGCATGTCTAATTAATTTATAAAGATTAATTAGATTTTATAAGCAATTTATTATATTATTTATTTCTATGGTAAATATTCCTTAAATATTGTTTTAATAAAATTTTAATTAGTAGTAGTAGCACTGTCATTACATTAAATAATATTTCTGTCAAGTTAACCCAAATTTTTATTTTGATGGGTTGCTGTGACCTTTACGTTTCTGTTTGTATATGATATGACCATAGTTCCCTCTCATAGGTTCACTTCAATGCTGCGATGACACATCGCTATGGGAACATCTCTGGTGTGATGAATGTCTGAATGTCTTATACCATCATGCCAATTCATTGGCCAAATAGCGCTTAGCACCGCCCCCGAGGCGTGAGTACATACTTAAGCTATATCAGCGTGCTGCGCGCTATTTCATCAGATTTCATTTCCTTCAGGAAGTGAATCATCTGTCGCCCATAGGAAAGCATTTTTTGTCATGTTCTCAGCTATTTTTCCTTCAAAGAGCAGTTTACTCCTCTTCAGCGGACACGATGAGCTACAGGAGATGCGTCGAGCTGTGTGACAGGTTTATCGCAGGAGGAGACACTCATAACAGGTGCGTGCAATGTTTGGGCCTACAACACGCTCAAGCGGCACTTAGCAGCCTTTCTGACTGTCGACACTGCGATAGCCTGTGGCTAAAAGTATTGCACTCGAGGCTCACGGTCTTCTCTAAGAAAGTAGGTCTCGCGTCTAATCCCCGCCATCCCGTTTCTGCGGTTGCTGAGGCGCCGCACGAGACGGTCGCTTGGGGTGACGCATGCGAACAGGGGCTCATGGAGAGTGAGACGATAGAGAGTAGGGGACCTGCAGGCTCTCTCCATCAGCCCTTCGTGTATGGACTTTGCCCCAGGGCTGGTTAAAGTCTTTTTTCGACCTAGGCCTGATTATGTTCCTACGGTCACTTTGACTCCATTTCGCTTTCAGCAAGTGGTCTCAGAGGCCTTCTCCCCTGCTGATGCAGGGTCAGATAATCTGAGTCTGCGCAGCACACTAATATAGCTTATGTACGTACGCGTCAGGGGGCGGTGCTAAGCGCTATTTGGCCAATGAATTGCCGTGATGGTATAAGGGCTTTAGACATTCGTCACACCGGAGGTGTTCCCATAGCAATGACGTCATCGCAGCATCTCGTTCCCTATTCAGGGAACCAAGGATACATATGTAACTGAGATCATCCCACTGTAACAGTAAAATGCTCATGAAGTGACTCTCACAGCAGTTCTAAAGATTGTTAATTTGTTCATGTACTCACATACTGAGGCGGCAGAGGCTGAAAACACCGCGAGCGTCACGCGCGCTTCAGTATGTGTGTAGTAAACAAAACCGTGTGTCTGCGCCATTGATTCATACAGAGACATGCAGAAGGTGCAGGATTCATTTTTAAATTCCGTGATATTCCGTTTTTATGACTCACGGATGGAATTCCATGATTCGCGGATGGAATCTGTTTTCCATTAATCTTAGGGCCCTAAATAAACAGTGTTTTACTCAGGAAATATATCTCTTATTAAAATGCATTCTTAAAGTACCGGTACTAGTAAAAATGCGGAATCGTACCGTTTTTAAAAGCATGGTATCGCGATACATTTGTAGTACCGGTATATCGTGCAACACTAGTTCACATATTTACACATGTTGGAGGGGACTTACCTGTTTAAAAAGCTGTTGTTCACCATTAGCTTATTAGGTTTACATTAAAATGTTATGAATTAAATGCTTACATTTTTTGTAATCTGTCTCTAAATGTTTGTATCTCAGGGGATACGTCGCCCTTTTAGGGGTATAAATCAAGATATAAAAGCATATATATATATAGACTGACTCTGATTTTGTCACTTATGTTTTAGAAAATCAAATCTTTTTGTAATCTTGATAGAACACATATTGTTGGAAAGGTCTGACAGTCAAGGTTCCATATTTGGTAGCTGTTTTGTATTAGGAGCGACACTGTGGCAGAAAATGATTGATTTTTGACAGAAAACTACATCCAAAAAAAAAAAAAGTTCTGTAGAGTATGGGTGTAACCCAGTGGTTATTTTTGGTATAGTGCCCAAACAAAATCTCACAGGAACCACAATTGTTGTGATATAAATTTCAAATTTGGAACATAACTTGGTTAGACATATGGCTTTGATTTCATAGCAATTTTAGAGTGCAACATATTTGATCAAATATTTATATTATATAAAATATAAAAATAGTATACTACATTATCTTTACTGTAAACTCAAACTTTTATAACTTTATGATACTTTCTTTTTTTGAAATGCTTTCACTTCAGCATTAATCTGCTATGTGTCGTCTTTAAAAAGAGACCACACTTAGGTCTGTATTCCAAAGCACTCAGGAATTACAACCATGTTGTAACAAGCATTAATAAACAAGTGTTCTGTTTTCAGTAAATAGTCCCAAAAAAAGCCACATATCCTGGGGGATACAAACATTAAAATCAAAAATAAGAGTCGGGTTTCCAAAGAAAAAATAAATTTTTTGAGTTCCAATAAGACGGAAAAAAGCAATAAATTAATTTTCTGATGTCTCTTTGTGGTTTTGCCATTTTTAGAGTTAAATTAGTCAATAAAGACATGATAGTGACATGGAAACCTATTGCATACTTCTATTGCATACATGTGTACTTCTGGCTGTAAAATGTTTTGATAGACACCTGAAAGGATATGCTGAGAAAAAGCATTTGCTTAATGAATAATTATATTAGTGTCTGCCCAGAATCCCCACAACAGTTCTGGTAAATTGTGTCAGAGGGAGGATTACGGCCAATACGCATGCGCAGATGCTCCCAGTTCCTCTCCTCGCGAGCGCACAAGCCAGTGGAAAGTTTCGTCGTTACACAGTCTACGGTCGTCGTCGCGCAGCCAAGGGACAACACAAAGGTATGCTAGCGATTAAAACACGCGTATTATTAGAGTAAACAGAGCTGTTTGCGTTATGATTGGTCGCTGGTTTATTGTAGCTACTGGTTTTGCTTTATAATAACAAGTGCCCAATATAGTCCCGCTATTTAAAGCGTTTGAGAAGTTACGCGCGACTAGCGGCCTGGTGTTGTTTAGATTGATTATAACTGGCATCTCGACACTACACATATTTACATATTATATACAATGCATTCCTTGCTCATGTTTTTAATAATTAAGTAATATGTTGTATAAAAGGAAAATAAAATTTAAAAAAATGTTAATGGCGATGTTATATTGAATTTAGTTCGATATGGTTCGAGTTATTGAATACTTAGATTTAATTCTTGATGTAAAGCCATGAATACATGTCTGAAATGGCCTCTGAACAATGAGACATAACGTTACACACACACACACACACACACACTCTCACAACGTTCACATCGTTATTACCATGGGATACAAATGGAAACGGTTCAAATTGACCCTGTTGCAGGGAATGTTGTCAAAATTGTCACAATGGGCAAAAATATAAGGTAACAAAATTTCAACATAGTGTAATTAATCAATTATATGATTTCTAACATTTTTATAAACAAGTGACAACTTGCCCCACCCTAACACTTATGGGAAATGCCCTTGTACTGAGATTGCAGTTCAGTTAAAGGCCTTAATTTCCCTTCAAATCTTTCATTAGGTTTGAATGTGTTTCAGTGTAGTTTTAATGTGTTCATTTGTTACCCTAACCGTTATTAAAAACATGACAATGCTGGAATTTTAATTTGAAAGGTGGAACCATTTGAAAACTGAAATCATGCTGAAGAAAACAAGCTTTTATATAATTGGAAGTTCGACTCAAAACGTTTTAGTTACTGAGATATAGTCCCTGTGTCAAATAGCCCCCTGCCTCTTTTATATGGATTTATACACTGACACGCTTTTAAAGAATATGACATTTTTCTAAATCGAATTAGTCTGTATCGCTAACATGTGTCATGTTAATCAGGAAAAGTTCATGTAGCTCAATGAGGATAGTATAATTTTGTGCTTTATGAATCATTTCTTCATTTACTTTCCTCAAGAGGTTAAAAGTAAAACACCTCGTTCATTCTGGACCACCCAGCTTTCATGTACCTACTGCACATTCTAGAGCTTTAAATAGTGTCTTACATGCATATATTTACACAATTTAGTGACTCTTTTCAACAGAAATGGGTCGCCTAACAGTACTGTTACTCTGTCTGGCTCTTGTGGTATCAGTTGTGGCCAGACGAGGAGGTGGCGGTAAAGGCGGATTCAGTTGGGGGAAAAGTGGGGGAAGCTCAAACAAAGGTGGAAGCAGCACAGGAAGCCAAAGTGGCAGCAGCAGTAGCAATAAAGGCACTTCATCACATGGGACACACTCGTCCCATGGAAACTATCCTCGCCAACCTCAAGCACCAAACCAGAATCCACCCCCCTACCCTGGTACTGGAGGCGGGTATCCGGGGCAGGGCAGATATCCACCAGCAGGCTCTAACCCAGGTCAAGGATACCCTAACCAAGGAAGCTACCCAGGGCGTGGTGGTTACCCGGCCCAAGGTGGTTATCCAGCTCAAGGTGGTTACCCGGCCCAAGGTGGTTATCCACAAGGTAACTACCCAGGGCGTAGTGGTTACCCAGGACAAGGTGGTTACCCAGCTGGAGGCTCTTATCCAGGTTATCCAGTCCGGGGAGGTTCCAGCCCTAACCAGTTTGGTGGAGGTGTTGCAGGTGCAGGTGGATATCCAGCAGCGGCGCAATATCCTTATTGGAACCCCAACAACAAAATCATGAGCCCAGGCTATGGCGGCAACTACGGTAGTTATGGGTACGGCGGCAGATCACCTTTCGCCCAGTCAGTGCATAACATGGGTATGGCCCCTTCATATAAATCAAAGGGGTTTGGCAAGCAGGCTATTTTGGCTGCTGGTGCTGGGGCGGTGGCTGGTATGGCTGTGGGATATGGCCTCGGAAGTTTCCCTCGCCCCCGTTTCAATTTCCACAGCCCGCAAGAGGAATACTACTACAATCACTACATGTACAGACGTTACGGCCAAACTCCCCCTGACAGTAACGTGAATGGAAACTCTAACACTCAAGGTGGAAATCCAGGCAATGCAGGATCGGCCTCTGCGGGACAAGGAAACGTTAACCCTCATGACATCTTCCAGAATCCTCCACCGCAGTCCTATGATAGCTTCATGGACAAGTGTGTGAAGAGGACAGACTTGCTCCGAGAGAAACCAGAAGGAAGATCGAGGAGATCCACTGACTTTGTTGAGGCTCAAGCAGCAGAAGTAGCCGATGATCCTACTGGTGCTCAAGAAAACGCCACAAGCAACAACAGCACTGCAGAAAGGGACACATCCGGAAGCTCTTTATTTGTAACCTCAAAGCCGCCCGAAACACACAGTCAACCTCAAGAGCAGACCCAGGAAAGAAAAGCAGAAGCTGACGGTGATGAAGACGACACTGTTAGCATTATGGAGATCAGCTATCCTGCGCTCATTAAGCAAATGAAAGCACGACGTTGTGTCGAGCTGTACATGGTCTATGCGGAAAAGCATGCAGAAAAACAGGTGCAGGATCGCCGTAACCTAGATGATAAAACCAGCAATAGTGGCGGTGACTTACCTGGACCCTTTGGGCATGGAGTCATGCTACTCTTTACTAGCATTCTGTCGCTCATCTTCATTTCCCTTCTACACTGATATTCTGGAAAAGGTTACACATAAAGACATTGAGTCAGACTGAAAAATGGACCGTTCTCACCCATCAGATGTTATCTGAGGAATTTGTCTTGGATCCTTAGAAACTTTGGACAGTATTCTTGAAAGACTACTTGAAGATTCAACAGAAGAGCTTCTCACAATGACTTCTGTAAAGTTACTCTACTAAATTGCAACATGAGTCACCTAACAATTTGTCATGAGCCCACATTTCAAAGCAATTTCCAAAGGAGCTAAACATTAGCATACAATTACTTTTTACAGTGTTCACCTTCACCCATCACTGCCACCTTCTTGCATGTGTTTTGGTGAACATGAACTTCTCTTCTAAGACAGCATAACGCATGAACCCTTTATTATCTCCAATTTAAACAGAATTGTGCATGGCATTGGCATTTGACTTATTGTATTCCACTGGCAACAGCAATTACAACAAACCATTATTATTTTGTTATAACATGGAATGGTGACTTCCAGCTCTGTTCTCATGATGTCACTCCTACTTGTGTAGTACACATGGAAAATTTTGTGTTGTAATATGATCTCTGATTGTTTGGACTGTTAACTTAGGCATTAACTTTCTTCTGATGTATTTATTTCTTTTAAATTATTATCATAGACATAATTTTCATGGTTTTTCACAGTCCTCCACTGTTAGTTTTGTTATTTTTTCTTTTTAGGGGCCGTTCACAATCAACATGTTTTTGCATTCTACTCCATTGTTTTTCTGTATAAACATGCACTAGATGGACATTATTGACCATTGACTCTTTTGCCGTAAAAACACAAACACTGCATTTTTAGAATGCAGTGCCACATTAAAAGACATTCAAAGATCTTGTGTTTTTTCGTTCCACGTTTTAAAATGAAAAAACACTTTCTGTGTGAATGGCTTCTTAGTAAATGTTTTTGTGATCATAACGGTTTGCTTTTTAACTCAATATGTACAATAATTGCCCCACTTGTCAGTTTCATTCATATCAGATGTACATGTACTATGACACTCAAAGAGATTAGATAAAACAGCATGATTTATATAAAGCTGGATCTTTATCAGTAGCTTGGTGCTGTGGTTTCTCTGAATATTACTGCTGAACATTCAAGTAAATTATCAACCCAGCTTGGCACTTTACTAAATAATTCATATAGAAGGCCTGTGGCGAACACTGGATGACCAGTAGAAGGCAAAGCTTAACCCCTTTATTGATGCTCAGCTGCATATGAATTGTTATGCCCACATTTCAAAGCAATTTCCAAAGGAGCTAAAACATTAGCATACAATTACTTTTTACAGTGTTCACCTTCACCCATCACTGCCACCTTCTTGCATGTGTTTTGGTGAACATGAACTTCTCTTCTAAGACAGCATAACGCATGAACCCTTTATTATCTCCAATTTAAACAGAATTGTGCATGGCATTGGCATTTGACTTATTGTATTCCACTGGCAACAGCAATTACAACAAACCATTATTATTTTGTTATAACATGGAATGGTGACTTCCAGCTCTGTTCTCATGATGTCACTCCTACTTGTGTAGTACACATGGAAAATTTTGTGTTGTAATATTATCTCTGATTGTTTGGACTGTTAACTTAGGCATTAACTTTCTTCTGATGTATTTATTTCTTTTAAATTATTATCATAGACATAATTTTCATGGTTTTTCACAGTCCTCCACTGTTAGTTTTGTTATTTTTACTTTTTAGGGGCCGTTCACAATCAACATGTTTTTGCATTCTACTCCATTGTTTTTCTGTATAAACATGCACTAGATGGACATTATTGACCATTGACTCTTTTGCCGTAAAAACACAAACACTGCATTTTTAGAATGCAGTGCCACATTAAAAGACATTCAAAGATCTTGTGTTTTTTCGTTCCACGTTTTAAAATGAAAAAACACTTTCTGTGTGAATGGCTTCTTAGTAAATGTTTTTGTGATCATAACGGTTTGCTTTTTAACTCAATATGTACAATAATTGCCCCACTTGTCAGTTTCATTCATATCAGATGTACATGTACTATGACACTCAAAGAGATTAGATAAAACAGCATGATTTATATAAAGCTGGATCTTTATCAGTAGCTTGGTGCTGTGGTTTCTCTGAATATTACTGCTGAACATTCAAGTAAATTATCAACCCAGCTTGGCACTTTACTAAATAATTCATATAGAAGGCCTGTGGCGAACACTGGATGACCAGTAGAAGGCAAAGCTTAACCCCTTTATTGATGCTCAGCTGCATATGAATTGTTATGCCTTTGAGATGTTGGGAATGTTGAAAATGTGTATAATGTTACCATCACTGGGATTAAAGTGATTAAATGCACCTTAGTTCCGTGTCTGCCTTTTTTCATTTGATATTTTTAGAAAAACCATAGAATAAAAAAATGTTTGCCCTCATTCTTGAAAACTAAATTTGGCCTAGTGATTATTTCAGTTTGTTCCAGTTCATGTTAATGTTTCATTAACTCCTTTTTTTACAGATGTCACTTGATGTCCAATGCAAAATTTGGTCCCTGAAGCGAAACCAATTTTTCCTATTATGGTGTCAGGTAAGCTGAATGTATACCTGTGTACAGTGTGTTGTGATCGTTTCTCTTGGAGGAGTCGTTTTGTTGTTTTTGTTTTTGATAACCGTTCAAGTGTACTTGATATCCCCATGTTGGCACATGCAAGATATTAGCTAACTAATTTGTGACTTAATTATACCCTAAGTGGAAAACCGTGAGCCTGTTGTGGTTATAAGACGATGAGGAGTGACAAAATCCAAATACAGGACTAATTGTGTTAAAACATGCAAAGCTGAAAACTGTCAGAACCATTTATCATCACCAGTGTTTTGGAATACAAATGAACCCTTGGGAAGAAGACTTCAGCACAACAGTGGATCACTGGAGATGAAAATCCCTTGTTTGGTGATCATTACTGTGGTTAATCAGGCAGATACACACAAAAACAAATAGAGATCACAATATGTTTCTGTTAATGATGCAATTTGAGACATCACACATGAGATCACACGAGACACATGCCACAAACAGGACACTGGCAGTGATAGAATACTAAAGACCAGCAAAAGATTGGACCATAAACACACATTTTTCCAGCTTAATTGAAAATGATTGTGTGAAATAAAAGGATTTTATTGTTGGACCATTGTTGGTTATAAATATCCAAGATAAAGTCTTCATGTTGGAGTCTTGATGTTAAAGTATTGTGACCTTACAAAACGGCATAAATGGATGACAACGTAATCTCCACATATAGAGTTTTACCACCAGTCCTCCGCTCCCATAATCTTCTTGATGAACCCATATTGATACACTGTAGAGCAGTTTGTTTGAAAAATCATCTCAGTAAATGCAACTATCATATGTGACCCATCTAGTGGCTCCTAGAGCAAGGGTTGCCAACATCTGGAGGGCTACTTTTCTGCAGACTTCAGCGGTCTTCAACTAGCTGAAGAAAGCTCACATCACACCTCTCTTCATCAGCTTGCACTGGCTGCTAATAGCTGCTCACATCAAATTCAAGGTACTGATGCTTGCCTACAAGACAACCACTGGCGCTGCACCAACTCGCTAGTTCCGACCTACGCACCCTCCAGAAGCTTGCCTTCTGCAAGTGAACGACGCCTCGTGGTGCCATCCCAAAGAGGCACAATATCACTCTCACTGTCTGATTGCCTCTACTTTCCCTGTTGAAAAAACAAATGCTGGTTAGGTATGTTTTGACGCTGGGATGCTGGTTTAAGCTGGTCCTTTGCTGGTTTATGCTGGTCATGTGCTGGCAAAGGACCAGCTTAAAGCAGCATCCCAGCATCAAAACATACCTAACCAGCATATGCTGGTTTTTTCAACAGGGTTGTAAGTCGCTTTGGATAAAAGCGTCTGCTAAATGACTAGATGTAAATGTAAATAACCTGTTTCAAGTGTGTTTGATTAGGGCTGTAGCTAAACTGTTAAAAACAGTATGTGAAAAAAATGAGTATGTCTGAATTTATAGTATTCATAAAACGGTAGACGAAAAGTACCCAGATGTACTACTTCCGGCCTGATTCTGAAGTGCGCATTTTAATGGACACTTAGCTATCACATGAGACTGTGAAGACAAGAAACTGACACTGGTAGGTCACATGACTATGACAGAATGGCAAATGTAGTTGACTGAATTTCATTCATACTACTCACATTCATACTATATAGAACATACTTTCTAACAATCGCAAAGTAATTTTTCTTGAAAAGACGTACATACTCGTGCGAGTTCAGGAGCCCTAGAGTGATTAGTCATGGCATTTAGGTTCAGGTGACTGGCTCAAAACAATGCAGCAGAACTGGGCAGAGATGGTTTATATATTACATAGCATATATTACATACATAGAATTTTTGCTGCTACAATGTTATGGTTAGTGTTGCTATGTAACTATTGTATGAATGTGCATATCAATCAAACTTTTTTTTTATTTAGTAGAAATATTTGTGTTTACACCCAAAAATGGCCATTTGGGGAAAATTTACAGTTGAGACATAAAAGATGTAGGCTAGATGAATATGAGTCCTCTATTCCTAATATTGCTTTCTCCAGTGATAAAAAAAAACAGTCTTGTCTGAATCAGGAGAGAAATATGCAAATCAAGAGCACCATTTACAAGTGAAAACATTCCAAAACCGTTCTAAACAATTGTTCTTACACTATGGCAGTGTAATGACAGTGACAGAACAAAAACACAGATAATAAAAAATATAAATAAAATAAAATATAGAATAAGTAAATAAGGAATGCAATATACAAATTGACAATTGTATGTACAGGTATATTACAATAGATAGTTTTGTATGTACAGGTATATTAGTACAAAATTGAAATGTAGACTAAGTATGTGTCTACATTTGCACTACTCTACACTGCCCAAAATACTCGCTTTAAATATAAAAATATAAAAACTCTTTAAATTTAAAAAACGTACTTACAGTCTGTGAGTCAGAACAGCCGGCATTGTAGTCTACTCTCCCAGGATCAGGAAACAGTCCTCCATAAAATGTGCTGCACACATCTGAATATTTGGGTTGAAGTGTTCTGGAACAGTGTTGTAAATACAACTTAACCACTGATTTCTAGTCGTGTCCTCTTTTGGAAGACCAAACAAAGTAGTTTCGCTTTCACAACGAAGCATACAGCGTCTTCACAACATGGCGGCGGCAACAACAATACTACAGCGAGAATAAAAGTTATGCCTTCTTTATTTGCGTGAACATTTGGGCGGCGTTATGCAGATCTTCCCACATCGTGACGTAGACATGTGGGGGCGTGTTAGAACGAGCCGTTTTAGGTAGGCGTGGTTGAATCTTAATTTTTATAAAGAATATCTCTTTGGATTTGAGACTTTAGTCTTTACAACTTTACAGATCTTCTTTATGCACCAAGAGCTTGTAACACTCCAAAGAGAAAG